CTCGAGAGAGCGGGAAGCCAGTCCCTTTGTGGACTCATACACGGTGCTGGCGAACCAGTAGCAGTTCCAAGCAACAAAGTTGTACTTGGGGTGCAAGCTGGTGGTTTGGCAGAGCATTCTCGCGAGGTCGCGGACGTTGAAGCTGGTGCCATTGTCAAACTTCAGCGAGGCAAGCGGGAGAGGGAGGACGGGCTTGGCTCCACCAGAGCTAGAACTGGAGCTGGAGCTGGAGCTGGAGCTGGAGCCGAGACTAAAGCGGGAAGGCCCGCCAGAGCTTGAAGAAAGCAGCGGCCACTTGGAGGCCTTCCATTTTCCAATGATAATTTGGTCTTGTTCCGTCTGACGCTCGACAATGACTCTGGTCCGGAGGGAGGTATCCTGATCTTCGATTATGACCTGCAGGTACTCGTGAGACACGGAGGAGCCCAGATTCTTGACATGAGTGATGCTTTTGACGAAGCATCGCTCATACAGAGAGCGGTTCTTGTACAAGTTCTTGAACCAGTCTTTCGTTGAGAAGACCTGCTCGGTGTCAACGAAAAGGTAAGGAATTGACGCCATGGTTGGGGATCAGGTGGATGAAGCACAGAGAAGCGAGCAGGAAGGGCGACGAGATGAGCTTGAGCTGAGGGTGCTCTGCAGTGATGTCTGAGGGGACAGAGATGGTCCTTGGAACTGCTTTTAAGTTATGAGGAAGATCGAGAGAGTTTTCGACTGACCCGCACTTCACAGTTCAACAAACAAGCTTGATTGCGTACCACTGGATTTTCTAATTCGGATTTGATAGGTAACTTGTACCGTGAGTTCACAATATGCATCTCCGAACAACATCTCAAGTCCAATGAAAGTCGCGCAGACACTGCGTGGTTGAAGTGACAGAAGAGGTTGGTTGCTTGGCAGTGAGGAGAATTTTCAAAGTTAACCAGTCCGGTGAAAGTTTTGATGGGTTAGCTACATAGATAGATCCATTTCCGCCCAATTCCTACATGCACCTGCAGCTGTGTACAGAAATGTGAAAGCTTCCTGCAAGACTGCCACCTACGAAAATGACAGCCTACCTACTACCTTACGCATTGTTGTAAACATCAAAGTACCTTACCACTCGACACGATCTGAAGAAGGTAGCTAAAGTTGGAGCAGGAAATGAAGTTGATTTCCTATTTCCTGCCTCTACTGTGAGTACTTGAACTGAAGCTGCCTACATGTACTGGAAGCAGAGCCTTAACGACGGAGATGGATAATGTACAAATTCCAAGCACGTGTGGATTAGACCCGCTTTTTGACGGACAGACTGATGGCTAGATATCAGAGAGATCATATACCTCCAAAATGACACTAATCGATCAGTGGCTGCATATACTCACCGTGACATCGGGGACCTGTAATCACCATCTAGTTTGATGTCCCCGTCGTCATCACTAAGACTCTAGTTTTCCACCTCAGTGGTGACGGTGACAATATCAATCAACACACATCTCAGCTTGGGCTGCAATACATCCTCCAACCACATGTACAAACCCTCCACGGCCACCCATCGTCCGGCAGTCTGGACCCTGAGACTGGGCCCTGATGCTACCACGTAGAAAGAGGGGTAGCGAGCGGATGGCGATCAGGGTCCTTCAGAGGGAATTGGTGTATGCTCGTTGACCCAACCGTATCGATGACATGTCACAATGAAACCTTACCTACCTGGTTGAACTTAAGAAAGGGTATTGACAATATGTTCAAGGTTGCTTAGATTACGTACTTCCGCTCACACCATTCGCAACAAGTCAGTTGTTGTGCGCAGAAAATGTGTCTTGTTCAGTGTAGGAGACTCCATTACTGGCGAATGGGCAATCTATTCATCGTGGTGTACATGAGCACAGGAAATTTCATGATCTTGGCGTGAATCAACAGAAGGCCAGGCCATCCAGTAGCAGACTTAGAAGTCACAGGAGCCCCGCAAAAGTTCACGTTCAGACCAAACAGCATTCATTTGCCCAGATGCTTCTATCAGGCAGATCTGCAGCTTGGAACTTAAGGTACAATAAGGCATCAGTGGATAGATCATCAAACTTTTGTAAACAAGTCGCGGCAACCGCGTCTGGCCGCTCTTAGAGTGAGGGCCAGGGATGAGATATTTGGTCTCAGCAAAGTCTTGGGCCCCAGCGACACGGGAATTGTGACCACAATTCGGTGAAGAGGAGGCCCACAGACACCTAATATGTCGCTTACGCCCGGAAAAGGCGCGGACATAGGAAATGCGATGTCTCCACCCCTGAATCTCAACACCTCTTCTCAGTCTTCAACACCTCCAATACCGTCCTCACGCCCGCAAATTCCACACTTGGGATTAACAAGGCTGGTGATGAGTCGATCTGATGGCAGAATGTAACTCTTCTGGAACAAACTGGGAAAGAACATCTGGAAAAGAGCTTGGAGATGAAGGAATGGTTCGTTGGTTGGTAGTTGCCTTTACCGTCATCATTACCTGGTAGATAGATTTTAGCGAGTGATCTCCCGCTTCGGGGGGGGCTGGGGTCGCCTTCGGCGAATAAAAGCATACAACAACAACTTGCCTTTACTGTCCGCGGAAGCGAAAGGTAGGGAGATCGTTGAATGACGACAGTACAGGGTGGGCAATGAGCCAAGTCAAGTCAAGTCGAGGGTCTTATTTGACTTGACTTGCCAAAACGACGGCCTAGCTCACTTGAAGCCATCACCGACTTGACTTGGTATCGTGAACTTGTCAAGTCAAGTCGGAACCCGGAAGCTATTTTTCCGGCCCGGGCCGAGGCGGAGAGGGTCGAGGAGGATGTCTTGGTTATGGTGACTTCTGCTAGATGCAGGACGAACTGGTTTTAGGATGGTGTTGATGTGATGGTGAGAATTGACCAACACATGATGGCAATGGTGAACATTTTGGGCTTTATACCTGTAAACTGGAAGAAGTTGGTGAGGCACTCCAAATTGGCGACTTTGAGACCACAACGAATCGACAGGGTCTGGAGAACTTCAGAACAAACCTCAGCTTGAACTGTTTGTCGGATCGGGACGGCAGCTGAAGCTTGCCGTGAATTGTGGGTCTTTGCAATCAGGCAGAGAGTGTGCACATGTAAAAGAGAAGGCACGATCGACCGGCCCGGCCCCACCCCGTTCCGTGATCCAGCTTTCCTGAAAGGGCAATCAATCGTGTCTTGGCAGAGCATCTTGGTGTGGGCCCAGATCCTTTGAGCTGAAAAGCAACATGTTGGATGCCTTCTCACATCCGCTATCTCCGAGCCCAAACCTCTTGCATTTGCCATATTTGCTTTCATCCTCTTTTAGTCTTATTTTTCTACGAATCTTCAGTATCATTCTGTCTGCTAGAAGACGATTGCTACCTGTTTCTAGCCAGTTTATACCATTCACCAATACGACCCTCGGATTTCGAAACCGTCAACTTCTCTGTCGCCAGTGAAATAGTAAAGTGATCCAACAAGATGCCGCCAAGGAAACAACACACCCCCAACTCGAATACCCCCCTTTTCATCGTCAACTCATCCGCCAAGATCGACCCAGCATCCAGGAAACAGATCCGCAGCCATGTCATGCGAGGCAAGAACCGAAAGCGGGTCGATCTGAGCACGAAACCCTCCTTCAGATCTTGGATCAACGACTGCCAAGTCTCTGATTACCTTCCCCTTCCACAGAGCATCCCGCCACGCGTCGGCAACGACCTGAGCCACATTGCTTTCATAATCCCGTTGAAGCCCTATATGCAGGATCTCATGTTCCAATGGTTCACAGTCATCAAGCAAGCCGTCTACCCCGTCGAAACCTGCGTCCAGCCCGATAGCCACCAATGGGTCGAATACCTCTCGTACGACCAAGCCTACCTCCACTCCGTCCTGTTTTCCACTCATGCCTTCTTCGACTGGAGCCGCTCGGCCAAAATCGGCGATGTAACCATGCACCACCTCAACACATGCATCGTCAGCCTCCAGCAAAACCTCCTCAACGCTTGCCTTGCGGTATCGGACTCTACCATCACCACTGTGACCACATTGGCCATGATGGCGGATCTGTTTGGCGACTACGAAGACGAAAGGAAACATATCGAAGGTCTTTTCAAGATTGTCGAGGTTAGAGGGGGGATCAGGGCACTGCAGTATAACCCCCAGCTTCAGTCTAAAGTTCTGCGGGGTGACCTTGGTCTGGCTCTATCAACGGGGTCGAAGCCGTTGTTTTTCTCGGAGGGGTTTTCATGGGAGCCTTATCTCTACTCCCAAACCCATTCTGTTTCACCAAACAAATCCAATTCCTCCACCCCAACCTCAGATATCATGATGCCATACATCACCGACCCCCGCCTTCTAAACATTTACCTCGACCTGAGGGAATTCTCTCGGGCGGCCAATCTAGCCATCCAGATCGGCACCAAAATTGGCGCGGCGGAGTATCTCGAGACGCTGGTTTCAGTGCAGTACAGGCTGCTGGCTCTGCAACATGAATGTGGTGACCCACCGGTGTCAACAGAGGATGGGAAGCTTTTGAGGGTGGGTATGCTCGCTTTCACGACTACTACCTTTTTGCATGTTAAGGGCTTACCGTTCAAATTCCCTCATTTACAAGACCAGGTTAGAGAATGTTGTCAGGGTTTGGATACCCAAAAGCACAGCAAGAAGTTGGAGCTGTGGTTCCTGTTTGTGGCGTATATCTCTGCGCTTGGGAAGAATGGAACGGAGGAGGATGAGAGGATGCTGGTGGAGAAGGGGAGGGAGATTGCAACAGGGATGAAGGCACAGTGGAAGGGGAAGATTGGGTGGAATGAAGTAAGGAAGGTACTGATAGAGGTCATGTGGATTGATTGGGTGCATTCTGAGTATGGGAGGGTATTTTTGGATAAGCTGGCAGTATGTTGAAGAGGTAACGTGCAAGAGGCAAGATGCTATGTGAACTTGTGAAGATCATCAGGCTGTATGTAGACTTGGCTAAGAATGAAACCGAAAAATAAAAAAAAAATAAAGAATTGAGTGAGGTCCTACCCGGACTCAAACCGGGTTTGCCGGAATATTTCTGAATTTCAGAATCCAGAGTGATAACCGCTACACTATAGAACCTGAGTTTGTTCTGTGGGTGCGGTGCCCGAAGAATTGCCTCAATTGCATCTTTCCTGCCTTGAGGTATACCTCGGGTTATGTCCCCACACTCCCTCCGCCTGCGCTAACATTCTACATTCAACGCCTGGAGCCCAGCATGTCACTGCCACGGAAAAAAGATCGAGTGCTATTTCCCGGTTTTATGGCTGGTTCGATGTGTTGATGCAATAAGATAAGTTTGCGAAACAGAGAGAAGGGTTCAAGGTATTTAAGGAGGGAAAGACGAAAGAACAGTCAACCCAGCGCAATCTCTTTCCAAACTGGGCCAGGCTTGAAACTCTGACATACTAGATCTTGCCGCACAGCGCCAATTCCCCGTCTTTCGGCTATTCCATCTTTCCATTCTACCAGCATCACATAGTAAATGGTAGTATTATACTCCCTCTCTCGCAAGTACACCTTACTCCCCATTCCTGTCTTTGTTTTGTCGAGGTCCTTGAAGTCTCGTGCCCTTCCCTCGGAAAGAAGGAGCACGTCAAGCGGTTCCGAAGAGTCGAAAAATCCCTCCGACTCGTTGAACCCATCAAGGGCCATGCCTCCGCATTCTTCACCGTTCTGTCCGAGCAGTCGGGCCTGGTGCCTGAAAACATCGGTGATCTGAATTTTGAGCGATAAAACCAAGGTCCAAAAGCGGAGGATTGGGTAGGATCTTGGGTTGTTGATGGATGTGGGTACCGTTTTCGTTGTCGCTATCTCAAGGATGGGGCTTTGGAACGGTTGTCGTTCAAAGGTGGCGATAGTGTAGTCGGGTAAAGGGCTCCTGTTCGAGTCACACAACAACTCGGTTTTCCCAGCTGCATTCGTTGAATACCAGATGATCCAGGTCCGGCTGCGCAACCACATGTCCATCGTCAACTCGCACTCAGTCCAGCCTGCGCGCCTCAGATGCATCTCAACCTTCCCTTGCCAACCCGCCCATGAGTAGCTGGGAAACCCTTCTCGACGGCTAAGGCTTTTACCTTCAAACAACAGAAAAATGTCAAGTTCTCGTCTGGGCAAGCCTTGAAGAGCTTGATATCCAGAGCTCACCGACACCCGCCGAATAACACCCGCCATGGCTCGGAGCACATCTGAGTCCCGAGTCAGAATTCGAGATGTGTAGCTCTCAACCAAGTTGAGGTATACGGTTAAAACATCGAACTTGGATCTCCCGTTTCCAAGTTGCATCGACCGTTGCATTCCGTGATCATGGTTATGTAAGGTCGTTATCAAACTATGATCACAACATCTTTCTCGATATTCACTTGTGTGACAGCGGAAGACGATGTGTTCCTGAAAGAAGTACAAAGCTCGACGAGATAAAACGTGCTCTTGTAGACTATGAAGACATGGTTGTGTCAGCAAGACTCATGCTTTGTGGGCATTCGACTGTGTGTGAGGCAGAACTACCGAATGACAAACACTTACGTCCAAGCCCGAGTGTGATAAGCACTCTCCTCTAACAATAGGTCGGTAGAAATCAGCTTTCCAAGAAAGATGCCAGGCTTGATTTGACGAGCAGCCCGCCTATCTTGTCGGCTGCCAGAATCGACACCTGGTAGCCCAGCGTTGGCATCGTGACCCGAGGCGGCGATAATGGTGATCCATGCTCGTTCGTAGACTTGGTCCATGACTGCTATTCCCGTCTCGAGATCGGTGGGGTCATTCTGCACCAAACACAAAGAGTCAATCCAGAGATAGCGCTTGCCGAGCTTCCGGGTCAATGTGATGGCGTCACGAATTGTGGCAGGGAAAAGATTCCATGCTACACTGATGGCGGCGGGTCGCAGGAGATTTTTGAGGTTTGCCTTTGTCAGTCTGAAGTTCGATACAGAGCCCCAAACATAACTGAGCGCTACATATTCCACCGCTTCGGATGATTCTATGAGGCAAGCATTGTTGACATCGATGTAGCGAAGACACTTCAGACCAGGATAGGATTCTTCAAACTTGAATGTGTCGGTATTGTTTGTCAGAATACATTGGTGCTCTTTAGAACAACCATCAATCCACCTGATAAGGCGTTCGAAATCGACTAGTCGCGGAAGTTCGGGAAACAAGTAGTTAAATCTCATTCTCAGGCTTCCACCATCGATGTTGTTCGCCGCAAAACCGAGCCCGATGCCAGTCCTTGTTGAGTTCGAAAAGCCATCTGTATTGATCCAAAAGGACTGCATGCGTACAATCCAATTAATCCAGACGGTTATGGTGGGCGAGTTGAAAGGAGATGACACGAATCCTCTGGTCCTGTTGTGCCGAGATATCAACTCGCTTACCAGCCGACAGACTGGACATGGGCTATTTTGAATGCGGGATAGGTCGCCGAGATCCCAACTGTTACACGAATATGAGAAGTATCCAACATCATCGCGAGAGCTGTCTGTGAAATATCCGACGCCGAGAGAGCGGTGGGTGAAGGATCCGACATCTAGAATGCCCAGTCTGTTCTCCTGTAACCTATGAAAGGGTATTTTCTCGCAGCATGAACATAAATCGATGAGTGAGGAGTCTGACATCCCGATGGTGGTAATATGCTGGGCCTTTCGAAATTCACATGCAGATGGGTGAGAGCACGCACCCGCCTCAGACTGGCAGCAACTACCTTACCCTCCGATGGTGCCTTCTATGCATTCTAGGCCTTGCAACCACGTGATAATTACCAATCGGATAATAAATCGCTCCTTCCATTCATGGGGCTGGATACCTGCGTTTCTCAACGCTTCCTCGCACTTCTCTTATCTTTATCTTTTATCTCCATCTTCTGCTTCAACGTTCTCTTTGCATGCGAAATCACTCAGTATACGAGGCATCTCACATTAGAAACCAACCGAGCGAGAAATCACTGGTATTTCATGATTCATGATACGTCAACACATCCCACCTTGGCGACTCAATAGTGCATGCCTTGAGGTGCAGTTTCATGCGGGGTGCATTACTTCTCCATCATCAAAGTCTTCACTCTCCATCACAACGGGGAAATGATGGCCCAGACGGTAACAGATGCCGCTTTATTGACGATGAGAAGGATGTGCTCGCCTTATCTTTTTCCAGGAGAGGAATCCGGAGGAGTCACATTCACTGCAGATACGGCCCCCATAAACGCGATGCGACTCCCGAATATCCGACAAAGGCGACCCGAACCGTCTAGCGCTTTGAAAAATCGGAATGTTGATCAACTGCAAGCTGCGAGCTGAATAAGCCATGCATAAGGCTATTCTCTCGGCACCAATTCAAGAGCAAGATGCTGTGCAAGTGTTTCACAGTTCCAGACACACCATTGTCCAACCGAACGCCAGAGAATGAGGCTATTGGCTTCCCACACACCCACAAGTATGCACCACTGCCACTATCACATCTGCCGCAACTTGGCATGGGTTATCATGAGAGATCATGGCCCATCCAATATGCTCGCTTGCCATGGCAAGACAACCTCAAGCCTGAGATAGTACGACATTCGGAGGGTAGGCTTTGCGGGATTGTTCTGCCTTGCCCACTCATAACATGGCCTAAACTCCACCCATCCCCTCACTTCAGGTCTCAACATCATGCTAGGCGCCTTAAAACGAATTCGAGAAGCCTCCCCAGTCCCCGGCTACGATCACATTAATGACGCTCTCCTTCTCATCCTTGGCCTCGCTTTGGCCTTTGCTCGTCATCTTTGGGACCCTTTATTGCCTATATATCGTAGTCTACAGACGATACTTTCACCCTCTATCTTTGATTCCAGGTCCTTTCTTCAACGCCATCTCCTACCTTCCTATACTTTACCAGCAGGGGATTCTCGAAGGCCAGTTGTTACACGCCTTGGAGAGATGGCACGCTCATTATGGTGAGATTTCTTCAATACTCTTATTTTCCACCTCATCTCTGACTCCGACCATGCAGGCCCCATCATCCGCATCTCCCCCGACGAAATCCACCTTTCTTCACCCAAGCACTATGAAACAATATACTCGAACGCTCTCAAAACAGGCTTCTACAAGGACCCTGCTTTTTACGGCCCGATGGAAGGTCCAATCAAAACTCCCGTAATCTTAACCATGATCTCGAACGAACAACACAGGGTGAGGAGAATGGGCATGAACCCTTTCTTTTCCAGACGATCCGTTCTGGGTTTGGAGCAGATCATCAGAGATAAGACCGAAAAGTTGATTGGAATCGCGGAACAAAACCTCAATTGGATTGGAGGCGAGTTTGATGCGCATAGAGTTACGAGGGCTCTCACGGTGGATACCATCACTGAGTATGCGTACGCTAAGTGTTGGAATTACATGGACCTGGCTGACTGGTTAGTGAACTGCTTCAATACAAACTCAAGTAACGCATATGGCGTTGCTGACATGGTAGTAGGGGTGAGGGCTATCAAGAAGCTATACGAGCTGTGCAGACTTTCTTCCCATGGTTTCAAGCCTTCCCTTCTTTGCTTCCCATCTTTGGGCTTATTCCAGACTGGGTAATGGTCAAGCTGTATCCCCATTTTGGGAAGTGGTTTGACAGCTTGGAGGTATACTATCCAACGTTTTGTGTGAGGACTGTGCTAATGTAGAGGAACAGGTTGTCCGCCAATCTGTCACGGAGGTCAAAAGGAATATCTCGCTGGGCATCAAACCCCCTCGACGCACCATATTCCACGAGCTCATCGATCCCGAGCCCGTCACGGTGACTGAAGAGGCAGCAAAGGGTTCGCCGCCGCATCAGAAGCTCCCGGACGCAGTTGTGTTTGCCGATGCAGTCAATGTTACTGGCGCGGGAGTTGAAACTACCGGCGCCACGATTTGCAGGGCGCTGTACGAGGTTCTTGATTCGCCTGAAATCTATCAAAGACTGAGGGACGAGCTGAAGGAGGCTCTTCCTGACCCGTGCGATGTCCAGGCAATGAGTTTGGTTGAATTGGAGAAGTTGCCTTATTTGACTGGGGTGCTCAAGGAGACTCTGCGGTAAGAGCTGCATCTCAAGCCCTTGACCAAGCCATACTGACAGAA